GGGGGTGGGCGTGTGTTAGCATGGGGGTGGCTCAGGGAGCACACAGGAGCAGGTTGGAGCTGTTCCTTGGGAGGAGCAAGTTCTCCCACTTGGGAGCAGCCCGTGGAGGGGCCCCAGCTCTGCTCTGAGGGCTGGAAGGCTTGGCCAGGGCCCTCGTGGGCCAGGGCCTGGCTCAGCCCTGGGCAGCTCCTGGTGCCCAGGCGGGCTGCTCTCCAGCTGGTTGTGCAACCCCCGCTATGAATAGGTCCGGGCGTGGGGTTTGAGGCCAAAGAGACCAAACTTGTTTCCTATGGGGTGACAGCTGCCCTCTGGAATTCTGGGAGGTGAGGCAGCACAGCTGTGTGAGGTCAGACCGCTGACCCCGAGGCTGGGCGTTCCAAGCTGGTGGCGTGAGGGGAGGAGCCGCGTGGCCAGACTGGATGGACAGGTTGTGCGGAGTCTGAGTGCGCAGCGCGCAGAGATCACCTGTGCCAGCACCTGGTGGACAGCTCCACTCAGAGCCCCGAGGGCGCCTCCTCCCTCCTTCCCAGGTCACCCCATTTCCTCCCCCACCCTCTGCCCCTCCTCTCACCACCTTGGTGCAGATAAGCGTCATCTTAGAGATGGACTTTGAAAGGGAAGGTGTTCTGATCAAACTGCATATTTAAAACATTAAATAAAACGGGCGTTCCGGTGAAATTAAGTTTGGAAGCGGTGGGCTTTCAATGTAAAAATACTGAAAATATGAGGTTGTGGGAGAGCAGGGATTCTCAGATGTTGTTTTCGAATGGGTACGATTTGACAGTGCTTGTGAAAATGACAAAGGTGTATGCCCTTTGACCTGGCAATTCCACCTTTGGACATGGATCTTCGAGAGTTCTTGCACCTGTGTGAAACCGGATGTTCCAGGTTATTCACTGCAGCAATGCTGTAATGACATGTACGGTGACAACCCAAGGTCCGGCGTCCACCATGGTCCATGAATTGGGATATGCCCATATGATGGAAGCACGAGGCAGCTCCCCATGTAACTACGCCTTTCTCTGTCCTTGCCTCTTCCCCACAGCTGAGAAAACCACCAAGAGTGCAGATGCCCAAGAGTGGGTCCTCTGTGTGTCACAAGAGGGGAAGTAAGTGCCCAATTGTGGATGTGCAGAAGATTCTCAAAGGACCCCTGAGACACTGAGTGGAGACAGCGTCACCGTGGGGCTGGAGGGCGAGTGGGGGTTGGGGGGGTGGCAGCTAGAAGACAAGGACGGGAGGAAAATATCCCGTGTTTTCATGCTTTCTGGAAAATATGAATGTTCGTTTCAAAATAAAACACAAGATGAATCTGACCCCAAATAGCTGTAACCCAATTTCCTTAACACGATGGACATTTGTCTTTCAGGGGACGTTCCAGCATGAGAATCCTCTTCCCTCTTGGGTGAATTCCCCTCTGGGTGTGCTTTGTGGGAGGAAGTGCCCTGTGCCCACGGAGTTCCCCAGTCCCCGGGCGCGGGCCACTGCTGGGGCTTTGGCAGCACGTGGGCTCAGGCCATCTCAGACTTGGGATGTGGAGGGTCTGAAGGCAGAATGACCACTGCCCATGGTGGCAATGAGGTCTCAAGCTCAGGGTCAAGGTCACAATATCCAAGAGAGAATTATTTCCATGCTTAGATTTTACTTTGTAGTGCCTCCCAGAGTTTACTTACACTGGTGTGCACCATCAGTAGCCTTTTCCCCCACATCAGTATGTAAAGCTATGTATAAGAGCAACAGAAATATATGAGCATGTTCTAAGTATAGCCTCATGGTTCAGAAAAACTACTTATCTTGCCTGTAAATACTATTATTGTTTTAACGCATATATAATATTCCTTTATACTAATTATGTAATTTCTACACTAGGATTTTCAAGATGTTCATAAAGGCACTTATGGAAGCTGCATGTTATGAAGGTCAGATTCTCACTGATCCTGCTCCTTCATCTAGTTTCTTCACGATCCCCACTAACACACTCGCCTCAGGATGTGACAGGAGTATACAGGTACTGAGCAGTTGAAAGCCAAAGTCCTTGTCTCCCTACCTCCACGTGACCCTGCCCCTTTCCTTGTGATTTCTTCTAGACCAGGGCTTCCCAGCTCTGGCAGAGAATCTCAGGGGTTACTGACCCCTCAGCTTTCTGGGCAACCTGTAGGACTTGAGACTGGGATCCGAAGCAGTCTTTTCTGGCCTCTTCGCATGTTTGTACATAAATGCTTGGTCGTTTCTTTGGGCACCTTTTTGTAAAATGTGTTCTAGGATGACTTCTCCTTTCGTCCACACCGTCCCTCTGGCATTCTCTCTCTCTGTCTGTCACACACACACACACACACACACACACACAACCTGAGGGCTACATGTGAAGGCCAACTCTGATCGCCGCCCTGCTGGTTCCAACTCCTCCC